GACTTTTGCTAGACAGCTCAAGAAAATGAATGGCTTGTAACACATGTGGTAATTACTGATCTTACACATAGACTGGATGTTGGGCTGCAGTGTAGTCTTAGTTTTCTGAGGCTGGACATGTCTGAGAGCGGGTCCTTATCCCACTCTTTTTTTTTTTCCAACTCTCCCTTTTGCTCATCCTTGCAACAGGGATATGAGGAGCAAGGCTGTGATAGTTTGTCTTGTATGGGGCTGTATAAAGTATTGAGAGCTTCAGTCTGCTTTTCTGTCATGGTTTGAACCCAGCTACTAACTAAGTACCATGCTGCCACTCACTTACTCCCCTTCACCTCACTCCATACAATGGGAAAGAGAATCAGGAAAGGTAAAACTTATGGGTTGACATAAGAACTGTTTAATAATTTAATGTAATATATAATACTAGTTATAATAACAATAATAATAGTTGTAATGAAGAGGGGAGAGAAAGAGAAAGGAATACTAAAACCCAAGAAAGGCAGGTGATGCACAATACAGTTGCTCTCCATCCCCTGACTGATGCCCAGCCTGCTCTCGGGCAGTGATTAGTGTCTCCTGGCTATATCCCCCCCGACTGATGTTCTGTGGTATCCCTTTGGCCAGTTCAGGTCAGCTGTCCTGGCTATGTTCCCTCCCAGCTTCTTGTGCAACTCCTCACTGACTAGCAGAGCATGGGAAACTGAAGTGTCCTTGACTTAGAGTAAGCACTACTTAGCAACAACCAAAACATCAGTGTACTAGAAGAAAATGAACTCAGTCCCAGAGAAACAAGGGACACTGTCCTTTCTGGCATGGGCTTGCGTTTGTGAACCAGCTGGTTGGGAAGCTGGTGGGGAAGCCTCAGTAGGCCTTTGAAACTGGGGTACAGCTTTTGCAGATGGCTGTGAGCTGGTCAATATTCTCTGTCTGTTTAAACAAAGTAGCTGCGTATTCAGAAATACAGCAGTTCTGTGTGGTAAAAGTGTGCTTGAGCATTCAGCCTGTTTTCCAGCTGAACTGGAGGCAGGAGAGTAGCTGTGTTTTGGGTGGCGTGTGAGCCCTTACCTTTAATACAGACCAGAGCTGAAACAGAATTGTGTGGTGGAAGATGATGACACTTTTTACCCAGCTGTTTGGGATTGTATTTGTTGAACCTGTTGCTTATAAAACTGCTCTCTAGACTGTCAGTATTTACTGATCTAATCTGATGAGTGCACTCTTGTCGGTGTTCCTTGGTGCCACTGGAACTTTGTTCATTAGTGAGGGAGTGTGTGGAGGGCTAAGGAATGGGAATAAGCTTTTCCATACTCCAGCCTACATTTGTAAGCCTTGCACATCTGGTCTTGTTGCTCAAATATGCCTCCCCATACCAAGGGTGAATTTTTTCTAATGAAGACCACATGGTCAACATCTGAACTGTACAGAGTGCTCTTGCCTGGAGTTGGGTCAAAACTTAGCTGTCCTAAAATCTTCTTGCTTCTCAAAAGGAAACCTTCCATGGAATATAGACCTCTTAATTTCTGTTTTGAGCATGGTGAAATGTATCAGTTTAACCATAAGTTTAGGCAGCTGGATCTCTTCCCTGAGGCAAGAGCTGCTGAAATCTTGCTGCTTGCTGGTGAAGGAACTTTATAATGTGTGCATTGGTTATTCATAGGGTGACTGATTCCATACGGACACTTGTGGGATGTTTCTGTTTCCAGTAGGGCAGTCAGAAGTGGGAGTGCAGAACAAGCATTGATGCACACTCACTCGTGCAGTGCTGTACCTGCCCAGTTAAATCCTGCTGGAGGTACTCTGGGCTTGTACACTTGCCCTTCTGCCCTGTGTGCAGTTTGCTTGGCATGTGTTCCCAGGGACTAGGGGAATTACACTGACCCTCCTTTCTCCTTGAGGTTTCTTCAGCCCTTGCCATCTTCCATAATGGTACACACTGATGAGATTGAGCCGATGAGTTTTAACCTTGTTCTGTAGCTAAACATCTTATTAACTGTCCTGCTGCCTTGATTACAGGAGCTTACTGGAACAGCATGTTCCACAGACTTTGTAGAGCAGCTCTGTTGCTGGAGCCTTCAGCCTGTGTGAAGTTAGCCTTGTTCCTGAATACATTTGCTCTGTCCTGAAATCTGAATAAGGCCTCCTCATGCACATTTGTGTGTCTCCTGCCCATCACCAAACGTGATAAGCACCAGCATTGATTAATCTCTCCGCCCTGGAAGTCCTGGGATAGCTGGCTAAATGGGTGTTAATTGCATCTGCAAGTGTGAAGCTCATGAGGAAACTGAGGGGTCTGCTCCAGAGCAGCTTCTTTAGCACTGACTGAGAGGTGTCAGACTTGTGACCTCCAAGCCAATGTCTTCAGCAGCACTTGACATAACTGGCTGTTTACAACCACCTTTTTGCAAATCATCATCTCCACAGCTGGGCTACTAATCCTGGCTCCCATTCCTGAGCTTGCAGAACTCTCTTGTTCACAGTTGTGTGCCATGGGTGGTTGAGCATTAGCACCTTTCAAACACCCCATGCAGTGGAGTGGCCATGAAGTAGGGAAGGAAGGTGTGATTTATGGATGAACTAATAATGACTTAATGGGAAAAGACTTCCAACCACATTCTTAACCATTTTTAGTCATAGGCCATACCTTTCACCCCCTGTCTGTGTCTGCTGCCTTGCCTCCTGATTGCTCTTGTCGTGAGGGTACCCGTGGAATTGAAGAAGGGAATTTTTCAGTAGCCTCTGAAAAAAAAAAGTGTGCTGTTCCCTCCTGAGTAAGGAACAGTCTCCTTTGATGTTCCAGATGAGTTATGGGAATGGTGCCTTGTTTTGTTTTACAAGGGTCTGTTTGGTGGTGCATGGGGTGTGCTGCCAGCAGAGTTCAGCTAGGACTTGTTACTTGGGTCAGAGCAGCACCTCATTAAGAGGGTGGTTGATTGTGACAGAAGTGAACAGCAGGCTCCAGGAAT